CACCTGATATTCCTGGAAATATACAAATCCTGTACAAATGGAGAAAAATGTCCATGCAATCTGAAACATGGGAACAATGAGCATTGCATCAAACAGAGATAGTCCTTCATTCAACCTTGCCATCTGTAGACATGTTACCAAATAACATCAGCATTTCACATAATTCAATATCCCGTTTAAAATTTAAACTTCTCCCATCACTAGACAGCAAAGAATTAGATATATGCCATCATTATTACCCAAAATCCACATGTACTAACTTCAATAAAAAATACCAAGTTCAATTAGTTAAATTTAAGTAAACAATTTTGTAGTTTATGAAGTATGGGAATCAAAGTAAATAAGAATCGAATATGTAAGTAAATGAAAATAATTTTGTAATTATTATAAGATAATGAAAACGGGTACGATCAAGAATCAAGCTTCCCCTTTTGTAATAATTTTCAAATTTCCCTTTGTGTTTATTCCACCACAGCCCCACAACTACCACCGAGAATATAGTGATCTTATTTCTTTCGCCATTGGCTAATATAGAACAATTCATCGCAGTAATGCCGCCACAAAGCACGAGAAAATTGAAAAATCATAGCTGTGCAATACAGAACCAGAAAATTGGGCAGCCTATTAAAAATTCTTAATTTGAGTGGTTTTCTTCAAAGAATCAGTCGACATAGCGATGAGGAATAGTATACAATTGGGCATCCCAAAAAAATGCTTTATCGATTTTCTTTTCTTCTCTTCTCTTCTCTTCTCTTCACTTCAACGAATTAGTGCGAAGAAAATAAAAATAATAAAAATTGGTAAGTTTCTCTATACCTTAACATCACCAAGATCCACATTGTCAACACGAGCTGAAAGAAACTGTCATGGGTTTGTGAGATTGGAAGAGGAAACCCAGAGAAAGCCCTATGTTACGGGAGGAGGAGGAGGAGGAGGAGGAGGAGAAGGAGGAGGAGGAGGAGAGAGAGAGAGGATAAGTCTGAGAATTCATTTCCCGTGTTTTCTGAAAATCACTCGTTTTGGCTTCAAAATGATGAAAACGAGCTTTTAGGCATTTTCAGTTTTCATGTAAATTTTTTTTCATTTTGAAAAATGCGTTTTGAAAAATAAGAAAAAGAATGTGTTTTAACTGTTTTGAAAAATCGAAAACAGAAAACGGCTTGAAAACGGCAAAGAGAACAGCCCCTGTTACGGGTCAGTAGATGGAAGTGACACGTGGCACCGTATTTTAGCGGTAGGACCAGCTTAATCAAATCAGGACACATTTTCCTAGTTTCAGACGTGGGTTCCAAGGCCCTCACTATTATTCCGAGGCCACTGCTGCTAACAATGAGCCACGGTTCGGTAAGCATACATCGTCTGAGGCTCCTCAGCAGCCCTTGAAGACCCACATGCGAAGATCCACTTATGATGGAGATCTTTTGAGAAAGATTTACGTGACTCTTATGTAAAGTTTATTTGTGTTTTGTCTTGTCAATGTAAGAGCATTTAATATTTTGTAAAGTTAGGAGAG